GCAACCAACAATTAATCAATCAATCATTGCAAAAGTGATCAATTACACTAATTACCATTACACAGTTTTTGAAATGTAATTAATTGAATTACAATTACTTTACCAAAGTAATTTATTAAATTACACATTACAATTTATCATATTTTTTTAAACATTGTTTACAATATATATAGCATGTGTAAAATATTCATGTAAGCTTACAACATAGTTTAAGCATTGTATTTGATCACCATAAGAAGTTTTAATGTTTTATCATTTAGTCTACATCTCTCTGGTCCAAACACTTTGTTTGGACAAGAGCTGATGTGGCCGGTATTGCTAGATCATAAGATGTGTTGATGGAAGAGGGAATGTGTTCCTATCAACTTGCCAATAAATTAAGGGGTATTTTGACAACTCAGAAATGAAGTCATTTAATTCAACATAATATGAATAAAAAAATTATAAATAAATTAAAAATGTCTTCATGTTTTTTTCACTTTACAAATATTCAAAAGTATGCTTGTCACAATATTGAAACTTTTTTTCAGTACAAACAGTGTGTAATGTCTAAATATCAGCACTATTTTGCTAATTAGATAAAATACATGTAATAGTGGCATTGTCCCTAGGCTGTTCTATTACACATTTTAATCTGATTAATTGCTGTTTGTTTTTACAGCTGATAATTTTTATTCCTATAATCCTTTTGTGTATACTAATTTGACAAAATGATTTTTTGCAGTGATTTAAAATTCTAAATGAACTGTCTAAGAAAGAGTTACACATTTGTTTGACCATAAATACATGTATTGATGGAATATATATATACATGTTATCAATCTATTTAGATAAAGATCTTTCTTAAAAACTGAACAACACTAATATATGATTCTCACATTTTTTTAAGTTATAAGACTATTAAGCAAACATTTCTGTATATCAATTAAATACTATACTACCATAATGTCTTATCATTAACACCATAAAAGTACATGTAATTGAAATGTAATTCAAAAGTAATTTAGCATTACACGCTTTTTTCATTGTAATTAATTAAATTACCATTACATGTAATTAAAAAAAGGCTCAATTACACATTACATTCAATTACATGGAAAATTGTAATGCATTACACTTAATTACCATTACATTTTCAATTACCCCATCCCTGATATAGGATATTTAAAAGTATATTTACAGGAACATTTGAGAGTTATCTTGTATGTGAAAATTTTAATCAAAGACAAAATTCAGAATTAGTGCTCATAAATTAGAAATAGAAATTGGACGCTATAAGGAGCTTCAGGTACAAGAGAGAATATATCAATTATGTCAAAGAGATATAGAGGATGAAATACATTTTTTATTACAGTGCCCAATTTTAGAAAAACAAAAGAAAAGTTATAATTTTAGAACTTGAATAAAGTATGTCAACTTAAAAAACCTTAATTTGAAGTCAAAATTTATTTGGTCTATGTCATGTGAAGATAAATATGTTCATAAAAAAACATAATCTAATTTTTGATTTAGAATGTGAGAAAAAAAACTATACTGACTCCAGACATCTCTGGTTGTAATTAGTTGTCAAATATCTCGAAATTATTATAATGTATGTTATTCTTATTAGATATAAATTATCAAGTGTATAATAACAAAGAAGACTGGGTTGTGCATACATATCCAAAAATTAGGGCACTGACACTGGACATTTATAAGATTTTAAGTCCTTTATAGACCATAATAAATGTTTTTGTTTTTTGTTTTATATTTTCATCACTGTATTCAATAAAATCAATGTTAATCATATGTATATCATAATTTGAATTAATTATTCTACTCTTCATGGGCGTCATGATTGACAAATAAATCTATTCTTATTCTTATTCTGTACATTTTATGAATACCTCAAAATACAGATTTTATGTATCACGTTTATATTTTTTTTTAAAAGAAGAGAAGTTATTTTGTTACAATGTTTGTTGTTATTCATGTAAAGGAAAGTGTTTTGCCCAAAGCCCTGCTGTATGGCGATGGGGCCATAAAGTTTAACCTTTGTCCATCTGTACATATATGACATACGTCTACCAATAGAGTCCCAACATCATTTTATCTGGCAACATCCAGAGGTAATCAAACTTAAATACAATGTTTATCATACTTGTTACCACCAAACACAGATCATGTTGGAAATGTATGTCATTACTTTTATCCATGATGACCCAGTTATGTCCCTTCATAAATGAAATAGCAGCTTATAAAAGAACAAAACACTTTAGTATGAATTAAGTGCCAGTCTGTCTAAGAATCAGGCAAATTCTAAAAAAATCAAAACATGACATATTTCAAATATTCATCTCATATGCAAAATATGTTACCTTTAGTAAATCCATATAGAACTGTATAATCAAATTTTAGAAAATCAATTGCAGTATTATGTATTAGCACTTCGAAGTTCAAAATGTTTTACTATTAACCTATGTAAATTCAGGCAATTTCAATTCAAAATTTTTTTTATTACCAGACCCGTACAATCACAATGATTGCAAATATAAATACCAAGCAAATAGAAATTTCAGGTTTAAGCCTTCGTCTGGTGTTTTTTTTTTGTCTACTGGTCAAAATTCCATTGCAAAGATTTGTTGCTTTGTTCATGAAAGAACACAATTTACAGAGTTACTTCCCCTAGCAGAACTCTTTTGATGTAAACAATACTGATGTCATGCATGTGGCAGACAATGTTGAACTGTAATTTTTCAATCTTATCTGACGATGAATGAGGGAATTCACAGTATTCTAAGGATGAAAAGACAACACGGTTATTGGACAATGTAATAGAATTGTTGAACCACTTCCCTAGGATTAAAATATTCAAAATTAGACAAAAATCAAGTCGGAGGGAAAATTGACTTTTTACAATATTGGGATCTTTTCCCACTTACATGAACATTCATACTTTGTTTGTCCAAAACACCAACAAACCCTAGGAATATGCATGAGATTAAGAGAAGGAATGTTGGTTTTGCACAACCGTCTCACAAAGGAAGGATCAAAGCCAGGCAGAGCAGTGCCAATCCAGATGAGCAGGGCCTTTTTCTAGGTTCTAAACACAAGGTACACTATTTACATATTATTATATTCAAAAGATAATTTTGGTCATACACCATTCTCCTCCCCCATTATATATTTTACTGTAAAATATTGAAAATGGTTTAGGTTCAACATGAATATAAAAGGGGGGCTCATTATCAGACTCATATTTTGTTTTTTGGCAGATTTTTTTCTGTTAGATAATTATAGATTATCATATTTTATAAAGAATGTATAGAAAAAATGGTGATAATGGCAAAAATATGAGTTTGTTCTAAACTGAAGGAGACCCCTGGCCCTGAAAAATGTACTACTGCCCTTCCAAAGGAAGGTTCCCATGTATTTCTTTATCGAAATTAATGTTTAAGTTTCATACATGTACATAATGATCAGGGTTGGCTAAGTACATGTATTACCCGGGTGGGAAAACCCGGGTTTTCCCGGGCTGGGCAATACTCCTAGAAACGGGTAATACTGGGCAATACTGGGTAATATGATTTTTCAAGCTTATTATACACAAAATAGTAAAGACTTGTTGTAGTTTAATAGTATTATAGCTAAATATATACATTTTATACAGATAACCATTGAGAGTCATTCCTGATGATTGAAAATTCAATTTCGTCCTTTTCTCCACTTATTCTTATTCAGAATACAAGTTTTGGACATTTCAGGATACCTTGTTAATTTCCAAGCTTTGTTTCAATATTAAATCCAAGTTGAAAAAATGCATGTTATTGCAGTGTTTAAGTGAATTGTAAATTTTAATTGTTATACAATCATATTGCTAAATAAACACCCGAAGGGGACAGGCCATGAACACTTATAGAAATCAAAAGGCTGATTATTGTTAAATAAACAAATATGTATTATAATCTGAATAATTACTTATTGATTAGTGATGTACATAAACAATTGCTAAAACTTAGTAAGCATATTTAGTAATGAACAAAAAATGTTTATAAGTAATTTTCCTTACATAGAATTGTTAATTCTTAATATTAGTTATATTTATTTAAAAAAAAAACAAATTGCATTCTTCAACTTTAATGTATTGCATTTGTGATTAATCACTGAATCCTCTTTGAAATTCAGGCCAGTATTTCATATTACCCAGTATTACCCAGTTAAACCCGGGTTTTCCCAGTATTTCCCACTGGGCTGGGTAATACTCATAAAACCCGGGTTTTTGCCAACCCTGATAATGATACATTTAGACCTAAAAAAAATAGACTTACAACTGAAAATTATTAGGTTAGATAGGTATGAAAATGATTTTTTTTTAAAAAGTGTTTGACTGGTTTAAAAAGGGAAAATAATTTGACGCAATATAAATAGGGCTCGTTAAAAACTTACAGAAATGTTTATGTATACAGGTATAGGTAAGGTTATCAAAGGAACAACTATTTTTTTCTCAAAAAGGCCTTCAACAATTTACGGAACTATTTTGATGATATAACTGTACCTTATTGGCTTAATGTAAGGAATATGTTGTTTTTATCAGTGCCATTAAAAAATGACAAGAACAAATTTCCAGTGTACTTTAGGCATTTTTTATCATAAAATATAGGGTCAGTATTTTTAGTACTTTAAACACATACATATTTTTGGTCTGCCTTAGGCCCATTACCTTATTTATAATTTTTGATCTACTAAAATGTTTTAACCCAGAACCCTTGAAACTCTATATATAGCTAGCTTTCAGGGGTTAAAACATATTCTGCATAACTTGTACTTAATGTTATTTGCAACTTATTAGATTGGTCTGAAGTAAGAGCCACAAAGAAATTTGTATTGTATAAATAAATTCATTCCTTCATTTATATTCATGTACATGTATATATATTTTTATCAGACTTATTAACAAATTTGAACTTTATCTTCAGGGATTTGCCGAATTGCAGAGGTGATTTGTTAAGACACATATCTTTGACTGTTTACAGAAGACTATTGAATTGCACAGGTACAAATTATTTGAATTTAGATATTTTTTATGTATACCAGTAAATTTGAGTGATAGAATGTTTACTTCAACCCATCTCCACTAGTCATGCTAGTGGGCCCATTTTTTTCGGTGAAATATTTTTTTAAAACGATTTTGTGATTTAAGAAATAGATGAGAATTACTTCAGCTACAAGATGTTTTTGTCATACCCATCCACAACGGGACAGCTCATTATCATAGATTTTCCCGTCAGTATGAAAATGCTGATTTACAAAATGATTTTTGCTGGTTCTGTTTTGATTGATTGATTGATTGTTGTTTGCTTTACGCCGCATTAGCACAGAAAGGCTATATCGCGGCGAGAGCTAATTCGAATATTATAACAATTTAAGGTATATTTTTAAAATCAGACAAAAGGTCTTTCAATAAACTAAAATTCTAGACTAAAGCAAATTGATTATTTACAAATAAAAATGAACACTAAGATAACGTGATAAAAATTAAAATCGTTGTAAATATAACAACATTTTATATTTTATAATATATTCCAATTTCTTTTAAGAATGAAACAATATTTGTAAATGGAATATTATTAAATAAATCATACATATTATTGACATTGAAATGCTTCTTCCGAATATCAGCAAAGTCAATACAATTGATTAAAACATGTTTAATAGTATACTTGCAGTTACAAGGTATACATTGTGGTTCTACTTCATTTTTTAAAAGATATTCGTGTGTTATTCTAGTATGACCAATACGACATCTAGAAATAACACACTGATCTTTTCTGCACATAAAATTATTGAAAGGTTTACATAAATTAGGTTTAATTTCATGTAATTTATTACCATCTTTTTTACTCCATTCATTTTTCAATATATTAAAAACATATTCTCTAATATTAGATTTAAAATCGGTATATGGTATATCACAGTTAGATAAAGGGTCACCCAGGGCATTCTTTGCCTCAAGGTCTACAGCTGTGTTTCCAAGGATTCCAACATGACTCGGCACCCATAGAAATAATATTTCTTTAAGAAGAATTTTTAAATTCCTCATTACATATAAAATTTTGAGAATTGTTGGGTTTTTAATTTTAGTATTTTGTATAGCTTGTAAGCATGAAAGTGAATCAGAACATATAATAAATTTGGATTTATCTGAAGAAGCAATAAATTTCAAAGCCAAAATTATTGCTTCTGCTTCAGCAGTAAAGATCGCTGCATCAGATGGCAAACGGAGAGTTGCAGCTCTGTCCCTGAAGACAGCAGCAGATGCAACTCTGTCACCATCTTTTGATCCATCAGTATAGACAGTTGAAAAATCTGAATAATTGGCTTTGATTTCAGCATAGTGTTGCTGAATTAAAAGAGGATTTGTTTTATTTTTATTGTGTTCACGGAGATCAAATATCATTTTTGGTTTGGGAAGTTCCCATGGAGGACATTTGCAAGTTTCAACTTGAGCAACAGATTTTAAATCAAAAGAAGCTAAATGTGATTTTAAACGTATACCTAACGGAGGAATTTTATTTTCATGTTTTGCAAAAATATCTTCATAAATTGGATTAAAAACACAGCTGTAGGCAGGATTATCTGAGTAGGCTTTTAGTTTGACAGCATATTCAAGTCCAAGCTTCAAACGTCTGTTAGAGAGTGAGTGCTCATCAGCCTCTACATACAGACTCTCAACTGGTGAGGTTTTGAATGCGCCAAGACAGAGACGCAAACCCTGATGATGCACAGCATCGAGAATCTGTATGTAGGACTTCCTTGCAGAGCCATACACTATAGAGCCATAATCTAGTTTAGATCTAACTAGAGATCTATATAAATTAAGTAAAATGTTGCGATCAGCACCCCAGTCGGTGCTGCCGACAACTTTTAAAATATCTAATGCTTTTAAACATTTCGATTTTAACATTTTGATATGGGGTAGAAAGGTTAACTTTTTATCGAAAATTAACCCAAGAAATTTGGTTTCATCAACCATTTTAATTGGGTTGCCGTACAAAGTGATTTCTGGATCAAGATGCAATTGCCTTTTGTTACAAAAATGCATCCCGACCGTTTTTGAAGTGGAAAATTTAAACCCATTTTCCGAGGCCCATTTTTCAATTCTTCCAAGACATAACTGTAATTGTCTTTCTATGTTATTCATATTTTTGCCTCTATAACATATTAAAAAGTCATCAACATACAATGAACCTTCAATATTACTTTTTAAAACTTCAACAAGGCTGTTGATTTTAAGACTAAATAATGTAACAGATAAAATACTGCCCTGAGGGACACCCATCTCTTGATCATACAGATCAGACATGGTTGAATTTACTCTAACATTAAATTGTCTGTTAGATAGAAAATTCGAAATAAAATTTGGCATATTGCCTTTCAACCCCATATCAAAGAGATCTTTTAAAATACCATACTTCCATGCAGTATCATAGGCTTTTTCTAGATCGAAAAAGACCGACACTACATGTTCATTTTTCGCAAAACCATTACGGACAAATGATTCGAATCGAACAAGATGGTCAAGAGTACTGCGACCTTGGCGGAATCCACACTGGATATTGGCTAAAAGCCCATTGGATTCCAGGAACCAAACAAGGCGATCATTGACCATCCGTTCTAGTGTTTTACAGACACAACTGGTAAGAGCAATTGGCCGATAATTAATAGGATCCGTGTGATCTTTACTTGGTTTTGGAATAGGCACGACGGTTGCAAGCTTCCAGATTGATGGTAAATCACCAGATTCCCAGATGTTATTCATAAGCTGCAAAAGAGCTTCCAGCGAGGAATCTGGCAAGTGTTTTAACAGTTGGTAGTGAATATTATCAGGCCCACAAGCTGTATCATGGGCTTTTGACAGAGATGTTTTAAGTTCTTCAAGAGAAAAGAGTTTATTATAATTTTCACCATTTTTTGATTTAAAGTTTAATTTAATTTTTTCTTTTTGTTTTTTAACTTTTTTAAAATCTTCCCTGTAGTTGTTAGAAGAAGAAGATTTCGCAAAAGTTTCACCAAGCTTGTTGGCAATATCCTTTTCAGATGTTAATAAATCATTGCCATTTTTTAAATGTTTAACTGTGGCTTTAGAATTTTTACCTTTTATCTTTTGTATCATGTTCCATACTTTTGTCATCGGAGTGCGAGATGTTATCTCCGAGACAAATTTCTTCCAAGACGTTCGTCGTGCTTGCCTGCAAGTCCGCCGTGCCTTAGCGCGAAAAACACGGAAATTACTCAAGTTTTCCGTCGTTGGTTGTTGATTGAACCGTCTTTCAGATTTTTTACGGTCACCTATTGCTTGATCACAAGCATCATCAAACCATGGTTTGCTGGGATGTTTCGGATTTGCCGAGGTCTTAGGAATAGTTCTGTCAGCAATTGACGTTAAAACTGTATTAAAAGTTAAAATTGGATCTTGTACAGTCTCAAACATCTTTGACTGAAGTTCCGCTTGACAGAGATTCTCAAACAAGGACCAGTCCGCCTTGTCAAGTTTCCAACGTGGTACTCTCTGTTGGGCAGAAGTAAAAAGATGTTCAAGTACTATTGGAAAGTGATCACTTCCACATAGATCATCATGAACACGCCATGAATAATCCAGAAGAAGAGAGGGATCGCAAATAGTGATATCAATAGCAGAATAAGACCCGTTTCCAGGATGAAGATAAGTATTAGATCCATCATTAAAAATGCATAATCCTTCTTGAGAGACAAAGTCCTCAATGATCTTACCTTTGATATTATGAGACTTGCTTCCCCACAAGGGGTTGTGTGCATTGAAGTCGCCCATAAGTATAAATGGTGAGGGTAATTGATCAGTGAGGTTTTTGAGTTTAGCTTTATCGATAATTGAATTGGGTGGAATATATATAGAACATAATGTAATTGTTTTATCTAATGATAAACGAATTGCAACTGCCTGCAGATCCGTGGTGAGTTGGACTGTGCTATGAATGAAGTTGTCCTTCACAAAAATGGATGATCCGCCTGCAGCACGTTCATCTACCTTAGAAAATGTGCTATACATGTTGTATCCTTTTAAAGATACATTGTCACTTTCTTTTAAATGAGTTTCTTGAAGACAAAATGCAGTAGGTAAAAAAGACTGAACTAGAAGCGTTAACTCGAGAAGATTTATTTTAAGACCTCGGCAATTCCATTGGATGATATTAGTCATGTTTTGTTAATAGACGGGCGAATGCTATCGAGTTTGCCAGCATTCTTATTTCGCTCACCCTGAGATTGTAATCTTTCGGGTGGCGGAACACTTTCGATTTCCATTTCTGATTCGTCGTTAAGTGTTGAAAATCTGTTGTGTGAGGAGAGTCGTCGATCTCCAGGACCACACGCGGCTGCTTTCACTCCGCCTCGACCCCTGCCCCGCGACCTCGAATCAGAAGACTTCTGAGAGGATGTATTTACTGGCTTCTTTTGGACATCCTTCTTTTCTGGAGAACGAAGAGGAGACGGGGCTCTAGAAGACTTTGTACTGGGTGTAGAAGATAACTTTTTAGATGCAGATGAAGGAAGACTATTTGAGATGGAAGAATCATCTATGTCACTGGGAAGATCCCAGACAGATTCACCGCCCCAACTGTCTGATTTAACTGCATCTTTTTTATCTGATTTCTTTTTTTCATTTTTTTTAAATGATGACATTGAGCTCTGTAAGGAAGATTGAGTTGATTGAGTACTGGTTTTAGAAGGCTTTGATTTTCTTGGAATAATTAATTTATCGGAAGTTTCTAATTGAACAGGCAACATTGTAAAAGTTTCAGCATCAATTGGCCACGTCATGCGAGTTTGTGTATTCTCATGACTGAATGAGCGGCCAACTTTGCTGGCGTACGATGGTTTGTTCGAAACTAGAGGATCACTCGAAACAGAAGCTATTTGTTTAGCTTCTGGGTAACTGATGTTTCTTTCTGTTTTTATTTTAATAATATAATGTTCTGTTTTGAGCAAGTGGTTAATTCATCTTATGATATAGATATACATGTATATATATGTCACAACAAGAACTAGGTCAATATGACCTACATGTACATTTTCTGCTGGTGCTACTTGGGTAAAATATTGACAATACTAAACAAGAATTATGCAGAGATCACCTACACATGTATTGTCAACAACATCAAGAGTTTTTTTACTTGTAAAAAAATCATGCATTTCCTTTCCCTGTTCAAAAACATATTGGTGTTTAAATTTTTTTAATAAGGTCAGTTTAAGTGGAACTACTAATGGTAAATAAATAATATTTGATATATAAAGTTGTATAAGCATTCAATTTGATGCATCTTATATCTATGGAGATTATTTGTCCCTGCCCCCTTACTTCGACCCTTGGTCATGGTCTATTGATTTTATCATGTTAGCAACTAGTTTACATTTTAAAGTGTGTGATTTCATGTAGATCAGTTAACAAAGAACCACCTATGATAAGTTAGTTTTATTTGAGAGTAGAAATGCCCTGTATTGTCAGGCGTCAAAAGGTCATTTAAGGCTAACGTAAGCGTCAAATTGGATAAAATTTTACCGTGATTTGTCAAAATATCCTAAAGTTATTGTGATTCGTCAGAGACCTCAAAAAGTTATCATCACTGTTAATTTTGGAGAAAAAGTTAACATGATTCGTCAAAATCAGTCGATTTCTTTACGGTTAAAAAGAAAGTGTACATTTTATCGTCATAGACCAAAAATTACTGTTAGCGCCCTTTAGCAAGAATTCTTACCCTTAATCTTAATGATAGACTGGTACCCCCATTACCACCTTCTTATTTGGTATACAGTTGTATTTAGTATTAATGGCATTTCTTATGTTTCTACTGACATTTTTAGTAAGGGTTCATTCACTTTGAATATTTGGCATATTTAAACATTTCAGACAGAGTATAACTATTTGATTTCATCATTTGAATATTTCTACCAAATTAACATATAGACTGTGTCAAGTTTATTTTTTAAACTTTTACTATATTTTAGTGAAATACTTTTGATAATTCTAAAGGGAAAAATGACAAGTGATTGCAAAATCACTGGTAAGCCAAAAAAAAAAAAAGTAACAATGTTCCACCTGAGACTTGCACATAAATTAATATATGGGTCCGCTTGTTCACATACATGTACTAAAATTAATGGTCGTTTCCTTAGTGTTCATTTTTTAAACTTCAATCATTTACATTTCATTCAACCAAAGTGATTCATTGAACTTGAAATTAACAACATGAACTGTAAATGAATTGCTATTATATTTATTTTGATTTTTACTGAAATTTCATATGATTGCAGGATTGATGATTAAAAGATTCAACTACAGTTCAATGAGGATCAACATATTGTGATGCCAATATTGCGCACTTGAGTAGGAAGATCAAAATGTTTGTAGTAAATGGACATAAGTAAATAGCGTGCCTTCAAATTGACCAACATTTCTGAAGTGAAGGATGACAACTTAGCCTCTATTTGTTGGGAAATTTTATAGCCATGTTTGAACCTAAAGAACAGATATACAAAACCTGAATGACAGATACATGTAAAATAATAAGACATGATAAATATAAGAAGACTCTGAACAATCTGAAAACTGTAAATTCAGGAATTACATGTATGTTACAGAAGTTTTTAAAAGCATTTGAATGTTGAGATTGGTTGAGTATCTCAATGATAAGAACTTGCATTCTGAAATCAGAATTTGGAAGAGCTTTTCCTTTATTAGCATAAATAAATCTCTAATTTGGTCAGTTACTTTTAAAAATATTATAATAAATGAATGCAATAATTAGTGCATTTTACTGTTTTCTTTTTGAAAAATGTTGCATGTTTTTATGACTTACATTTCGTCTTGCAGTGTCACAGTATGCAAGACAAAGGCATTACTATCCGACGGTGGTAGGGTCAACTATTATATTTTAGAGGTCAGAACCGTAGAAGACCTGGATTCGTAATGTAAATAAGAAGAGCTTGTTAGCAGATACCTTATGTTACAAAGTTTCCGTCTGTCATATGTCCAAAATCCTGGTCCTCATTTTCATGGTTCATTGACTGCTCGAATTGTTTTTTTAGTTTTTTGGTCATGCGAATTTCTCAATTATTATGAATAATATTAGGATAACTATATTTGGTATATTGGTTACTTGCTACGTCTCCATTGCAGTCAGACAGGGTTCACCTGACCTCAACCTCATTTCATGGATCAGTGATCAAGGGTAAAGTTACATGCATGAATAGGTTCATTTCTCTTATATAAGCAGTAGGTCAACTACCGGTATGTGTGGTGTATGGAATGATTGTAAGGGATAGATGTCTGTCTAGATCTGGCAGTTTCCATCTGACCTTGTCCCCATTTTCATGGTTCATTAGTGATCAATGATAAGTTTTTTGTATTTTTGGTCCTTCTAACAAGTACTTTATGCAATAAATAACTTTATTTGGTTGATGGAATAATTATAAGTACATGTCAGTCTGGCAGGTTTCATATGACATTGACCTCATTTTCAGGGTTCATTAGTGAAAAAAATTGTGTTTTGGTCTGTTGTTCGAGTGCTATAAGCAATAGGTTGGTGTATAGAACGATTGCAAGGTGTATATGTCTATGAATTAGGTGTTATCTGACCTTTACCTCATTTTCATGATTCAAATGTCAACGTTGAAGGTTTGTAGTTCCGGTTAGTTTTCAATTATTAATAGCAATTCAATATTGAAGCATTTAACATAAAAAAATGTATAATTTAAATAATAACCTATAATTTTGATAGAAAGAATGTGGAATATGCATACTTCACTGTTGCTAAGGAGTATTTATTGGTTGTTATGCATATCCCTTGTTTAAAAAACCCCACCAGGTTGTATTACAAATGTTAAAGCATGATAGTGTAAGTAACTATAATGATATGTCTCAAACCAATATGAATCTGGTATAAGAAGTAAGCTCACACCAAAAATGTGAAACTTTTGAAAGAATCTATTTTGTTACTAGGGGGTTTAAGTTGTTGCTAATGAAATGTAGATATTGTTGAATTTACAGATTTTATATCGAAATGATTGATATCTGACCACTTAATTGTCGCTTTTTGCACTGGAGAATATTTTTGTATAAAAAAAAATCAAAAAAAATTAAGTTTGTTCATTTTGGTTGCTAAGGACAGTTTTCGGTTGCTATGTAATATTTTCCGGGAAAAAACTGGAAAATTGACAACACTGGAATGAGACTAGCTTAAATAAATCATATTTAGTCCATTTATATGTATTTAGTCTTTAATATTGAATACATTTGTTACAATTTGTTTTTTTAGCTTTGTTGCTATAGGGTTAACTTTGTTGCTATGGTTACTCAATATTTGGAAAAAACCCACCGAGCTTTTATGAAATAATGAAAGTATGACCACTACTTGTTCCATATTAAGTAACACCATGTATATGCTGTTCTGGTAATAGAAAATATTTGAACTTGGTTTCTGGCCTTTTTTTGGCTTTTTTGGACATTATGGTCCATGGAGACCATCCGTACCTCAAAATTTCAAGAATGAAATAGAATTTCATCAAAACAGCTGTTCTTCAAGAATATTTGATAGTTGAAAAAGTTGCAGTACAATGGAGAAATACTACATTTTATATGAAGAGCAGTTTTCATGAGACTGAAATAGTGAAAAACTGTCAGTTTTATGCTAATCTCAATAATTCCTTCTTTGGAAAAATGAAATGGCTCTGTTTCCATAGCAACCATATGTAATTGGTCCGAAAAGTATTTTATTCTTTATAACTTGTTATTCAGATGATTTGTGCAAGTTTTCATCAAAATCTGAGACTATCATGTTTTGGTCACTGCCTGATCCTTAGGCAGACTGGCACTTAATGTATCCATCTTTTTCGGATGTGTCTTGATTAGCTCAGAGAGGTTGTAATTGGGAAAGAGCAGACAACCGAAGTGTCAGTCAAACAGAAATGCAACAATTGGACAAAAGAAAAAAACAATAAAAGATAAAATATAAACATTAGACACTGAAAACACGATGAAAATGGTTTTTTATATAGTTATTAGAAGGAGATCTATAGCTACTTGCTAGTCGAATTTTCAGAACAATTAAATGCACTGTGTTGGTTTGTGCATGTGGCCATGATATTTTCAATATAAGCAATGTTTTGCTTTGATCTTGACAGTAATAGTTGATAGATAAAAGGAGAAAATAGATTGAATGACAGAATTACCAAGATCTATATACTCTCTGAATTTCAGATCAATTGGATGAACTGATTTGGAGTAATGAGCTCTGAAATGTCAACTTTCAGTAAATTTTGCCAATATTTATAAAGGTGATTATTTGGTCTGTAGGTTACCATGGCATCTGAGGTCCTTACAAATACCAGCCAGTTTCAAGATCTGGTTTCTAGGAGTGTTACAGTATAACAACAAATTGACCATTTACAACTTAATGATACAGTTATCCAGCAAACAAAAACTTTGTCCGGTCTTTAGATAGAGTAATGGCAAAACTGCAGTCATCTGTCATTAAAGAACACAATAAATTAAAGAAAATGTTGTTGGTAACAAACTGTGATGCGTCAATCAATAAGAAAATCAAAACAACTTAAATCAGTCGGTATGAACACATAGACTGACAAAAAAAGGTTTCCGTAAAAGAATAAAAACAAATGAAGTTTTTTTTTACTAATATTTAGCTCCTGCCATTTTGGGACTAAAACCGGATATACTGTGAAAAAAAAATGTCGTTGAAATCCGATTTTCCGGACTCGTTCATGCAATGCAATAACCTAATCAAGAAATTTAAAATTTTACCGGTATCAGGATTTTAGTCAGTGCTATACAAATACGGTGGAAATGAAAAAGTAACTTGCAATTGAAAAGTATTTTTTTGAATATTTTATTTTTGGTGAGCAGGTCAGTTTCTCAGAAAGTGGAATACATGTATTGTACATAGAGTCTCAATATTTTGTCACCTGTCCTTGATCTCATTTTCAAACTGCAGTGGTCAAATGTACAGTTTTAAATACCAGGTTAGTTTTGAAGGTAGTTGAGACATTTTAGCATATCTACTCTTGTTCAAATAAAGATCTTATGGGGTTGTTGTGTCCAAATTTCTATGGGGTCCTTGTTTCATGTGACCATTTAGCCTCTTTTTAGATTAGACATAACACACATGTGGTTCTTATAATTCCTTATTCAAAATGTAGAAAATGTCAGAATCATTAAAAGTGTAGATGCACATGGCATGAGTTTTTCGGTATTGTGGAGTTTTATGTTCATGTCATGAACATGGAAACAGACAGCAACATGTATCAAGAAAAATTCCATTTGGAGTTATCATTTTGTATGAGGATATTGAATATTCACAAGCTTGTAGTTTTTGTCAGATTTTGACATTGACGTCAAGGAAATTTATAATTTTTTGGGTTATCCTGTATTAGTTTTATATTCCAGTAAAGATTGATTGATTGTTGGTTGCTTAACGTCCAGTGGCAAATATTTCATGCATATTCAGGACGAGAATAAATTAACAATAAATACAATAGGTAGATTCTGTAATAGGGGCTTCCGGGATTAATGTCGGGGAAATTTAGACCAACGGGAAACGAGGGTATATTGGATAAGGACAGAAATTTAGCATTGCAACAGGTCACCTACGGACCCCTCTAAGAGTTGTTGCAAGGGTTCTTAACGTGCAAAGAGCGTGGCACTCTCTTTACACGAGGCATCGGATTTAACGTCCCCATTCTGACCGGACGTGGCTGCAAACTTGATACATCCCGCACAGCCAAACAGACGCCCCACTCTGGCAAGCGTTTTACTGCCGGTCGGAAGAAGACCAAGTGACCATATTTCGTTTCCCCAGTCACCCTTGGGGACGGAACCAGTAAGACAATTGACAAATTTTGCTTGTTTTTTTTTTATTTGTTTGGCCATAATTTGTATTGGTATAGGTATTGCTTTTCTGGCGTCTGTGATGTCAACAATTGTTATAGTTTCTGCTTAAGTCAACCAAGTTACTGTTCATAGTCAGACTTACAGTACAGGCGAGACATATCTTTGTGTGAACAGTTTATAAGAGTTTATTTTCTGATTACCACAAGGCGAGGCATCTACAGTGCCACCTGTTTTTATCTATGTATGGTAATGTTATCTTGATGAAACACATTACTTTCCTGAAATTTTATTAAAGAATTATGGCCAGTTATTTTTAAAATGATATGTACCCGGCGAAGAACGGTGACATATTGTGTTTTTTTTATGAATTTGCCATCACTTGGTGTTCGTCGCAGCCAAAAACTTTTTTCAAAATCATGTCCTTTTGATCAGATTTATATTTGTACTTGAAGCTTGAAAGGAATGATGTATGGCGTATATCCTCTAATCAATGATTTTGTTGCATTTTTTCAAAGACGCCTCCAACCCTATTAATTGGAAAATAAGTGTCTTATTTTGTAAATTGGGAAAATACAGACAAAATATCTACTCAACTTCAGAAAATCAAGATTTGGCACTAACAGTACAATGAAGAGAACTATTTTTTACAACAAATTGCTCTTAAAAATTCATATATTGCTTTAAAATGATTAAATCAAACAAATTTCTGTGTTGTTTTTTAGGGCCATTAACGACAAATTTGGAAAGTTTTCTAATGGGAAACAGCCTTACATAGGCTGCAAATTCAGGTAAACAAAATCACTGCTAACATACAACGGATCTGACAAAAACATGGCTGCGATTACTGAAAATAGAACATAGCGGTTGAACAGCATTTTTGCAACATTAATAAGAAATCACGT